ATTTTCTTTGTGATTTACTTAAAGAAATATTATGGCTATGATGTAGAAAAACAACTCTAGGAAGGCAATAGTTGAAAGATAGAGACCACTTAGAAGGGAACTGAAGTGACAGATAATGGTAATCTAAACTAGGGTAATGACATAAGAGATGGAAAGGAAAAGAGTGGAAACAACATGACATATTGATGCACTGGATGTGAATAATCAGGGAAGGATAGGAAGCAAAGATGACTTCTAGAATTTTGTATTGAACAAATGAATGGGTAGAGGTACCATTACTGAGACAGAGAACGCTAACAGAGGAATAGACTGGTGCATCAGGAGTTTATTTTTTGACAACCTAAATTTGAGATGTCTATTAGACTTTAAGATGTAAATAGCAAATAGAAAGTTTGATATGCATCCTGAGGGATATAAACCAGTCAAGCTAGACAAAGATCACCCCAGGGAAAGAATACAGACCAAGGGAAGAAGACCCAGAACAAGCACTTCCTTCCGAGAAGGAAAACAGAAACCTTAATAGCTAGAATTAGAGGGATCCGGTTATGCAGCAGTCAGAAGGCTGAAAGAGCAAAAGGAGGATGCTGAGGTACCCAGATATTACAGAGAGTAGGAAGTGGCTACGACTCTCAAGCATGGAGAGTATGGGAAAGAGGCCTTTAATCAGAATCTGTGAGCCAGGAGGAGGGCCCTACAGAGCTAGTGCTTGGGCCTCTGGTGCTGGAACCTCTGAGGAGGGGCATGGCCAAGTGGGTTCTCCCAGGGCTCAGGAGGAGCAGCACAGTTGGTAAGAGATTGCAGTGTGCCTCCTCCTAGGGCTTCCAAGGGTCTCAGCTTGGCTACTACTAGGCAGCTTGGTGAGAATGGAACTGTGAGCAATTGAAAAAGGTGGAAGTTGTAGCCAACTGTGGGCTATTGTTGAAGATTGCTGACAGGAAGTAGAAAATAAGCTTCTTCTCCCCTCCTTACTACCTCCAATAATCCTCTTTAATTCCCACTGGTAGAACCTAATACAAAGCCAGATGGTAAGGGAGTCTTGGAGATGTAGTTTGAGCAATCCCAGTCCACCAGGATAGAAGGTGGGCTTGGAGCTGAGACACACACACACATATATATATTTTTTGGTAGGGAGGTAATTAACTTTATTTATTTATTTTTTTAAACAGAGGTATTGAGGATTGAACCCAGAACCTCACGCATGCTAAGCACACACTCTACCACTGAGTTATACCCTCCCCTGCAAATACTACAATTCTGCTTTTGTAGCAGGTATGCAATTTTTGTATGAATATAAAATGAAGGTTATTAAGGAGGCATTATACTGATAGGCTGACAAAGGCCCTACCCCACTTTGCCTATCAAATAGACCTGAGTCAGGCATGGTGTCTCACCTAGTTTGTCTCTCATGCTCAAATTAGAACATGAATGTCTTTCCTGTTCCTCAGAATAACCAGCCTAACATTCTCTTCAGTACTTTCCAGAGATATTTTTTGCATATATGGGTATTTCCTTTATTCATTCATTCAATATTTATTGTAAGTCTACTCTGTATTTGGCACAGCTCTAAATATTAGTGGCATAGGGATGAACATGACAAAATTCCTGTCCTTAAGAAGCTTAAATTCCAATAAGTTGGAGTGTGTGCAAGAGGGAAGGGATAGTAGTAAACATATAAAACAACTTCTAAAATAAGATGTTTTCTAACACTGCTAAGTCCTATGAAGAAATTCAAACAGGGCAACTCAATACAAGTGACAGGGTGTGGCACTCTAGCTATTATGGACTCTATCTCACCAACATATTAGTTATATTACACAGTTTCAAGCTAAATAGGCTAATTCTTTCAATAAGATAAGTCTACTGGGAACTAGAAGGTTGGTCTAAGAAGAAGGAATTTGCACTAAGACTTGAAAGATGAGCAGAAAAGACAACTATGTGAAAATTAGCAAGACATTCTAGACAGAAAGAATGGCAAATACAAAGGTCCTGAGGCTGAAATGAGCTCAGCAAACCTAGAAGAGAGCAAGGCCAGTATGGCTGGAGAATGGTGAACAGGGGAATGTGGCAGAATATCTGCACTCTTTTGTACTTAATTTATTTCATTTAACAAAACATCTTGGAAGTCAGTCATAATCAGAGCCTCCTTCTTAATGACTGCATGATATTCTATTACACAGGCATTTGGTTTATTTAAGTATTTGACTACTGTCAGATGTTTAGATTGTCTGCATTCTCTTGTTCTTACAAATAGTATTCAGTGCTACTGTGGGAGCCCATGATTGGCCCAGACCCCAGCCACTTGTGAAGAACAAATGTGCTTAGTAACTTCTTTGCTAGCAGGCGCCTGTGCATCTGCACTCCTGTCTCCTTGCCATAAAAAGCAGAGACAATGACTTACTTGTATATTTGAGGTTTTAGCTTAGGGCTGCTTCCGCAGTGGTAAAGCCATTGTGTGTCCCTTGCTATAAACGCAGGGCATGGCTTGTTTATCATAAGCATATGTCCATAGTTCAGGGTTTACTCTGCTTGTTGCAAAGCGATGACCCATGCCCTCAGCTATAAACACTGGGCATGCTTTCTGCTGTTTAGATAGTCTATGACCTCCAAGAGAAGAAACTGGCAGTCTGGTGGTCTGTTTTGTAATCAACTTCTTATATCTGAAGAATGTACCTTACTCCTCTCTCCTCATGACTGCCCTGAGGATAAATTAAGCCTTTGTACCCATTGTGGAATTTATGATCTCTACCCAATCCTGTTTTTCCTTAAGCTCCTGTGTTCCATGACACAATTGTTTGTGATCTTCTCTTTGATTGTGTACAATAAATATGGGAGTGTTTGAGAGGCTCGGGGAGTTGGTCTCCGACTCCCTTTCGCTCTCTTGACTTTCCACAGAGTCCAAAGTAATTCATTCCACCCTGGTGGGACTTCTGCTGGACAGAACCCACAGCTATAATGAATACAGATGGTCCCAGACTTACAATTTTCCAACTTTACAATGGCACGAAAGCCATACACATTCAGTAGGAACTATACTTTGAATTTTGAGCTTTGATTGTTTCCGGGGCTTGCAATATGCAGTAGAACACTCTCTTATGATGCTGGGCAGTGGCACTGAGCCGCAGCTCTCATTCAGCCACAAGATCATGAGGGTAAGCAATTGTTACACTCTCAACCATTTTGTACCCACACAATCATTCTCTTTTTCACTTTCAGAACAGCATTCTATAAACTACATGAGATATTCTACACTTTATTATAAAATAGGCTTTGTATTAGATGATTTTCCCAACTATAGGCTAATGTAAGTGTTCTGAACACATTTAATGTAGGGTAAGTTAAGCTATGATGATCAGTAGGTTGTGTATTAAATGCATTGTCAACCTATAATATTTTCAGTTTATGATGGCTTTATTAGGAGGTAATCCACCATAAGTCAAGGAAGATCTGTATCATCATACATATGGTTTTGTACATTAGGGTGATTATATATATTAAAAAAATCCTAGAGATGTGTGTGCATTATGAATTTTGCCATGTTCATTTTACATTTTGGTAAACATTTCCAAATAGACTTCCAAAGAATTTTATCAATCTCTATCCCACTACAATAGCACCTTGATCCACATCCAACCAATGAACAATTTCGTTGGGTTTGAACCATTACATTGTGTTGAACCATTTCATTGGTTTGAACCACTGAACCATTGAACCATTCCACTGGGTTTCATATCTGCCATATGAAAATGGTATCTCACTGTAGTTTTCTTTGATACTCTTTATCAGAGAGATCTAATTTATTTTTATGTATTTAAAAGCCATTAGCTTTTTGAGTATATGTGGACTCTCAGCTCATGTTCTTTGCCCATTTCCATTGGACTGCTGTGTTTATTTCTGTAATAAGTTCATTACTGGTTGTCTTCTCCAGCAAACCTACAGGGCCAGTGTTTATGCTCATGAATGGGAAGGGGCAATGAAGATCCCCATCCTGCCCCATCCCACAGTAGACTATTAGCTTTACTACCAGTTTAGAAATTGTAGTGGTAATTTTGGTTTCTTCCATGTACTCTGGGTGGGAAAGCCAAAACAGAATATTTTTAATGAGGGGAAACCAGGGTTCAGTCTCTCTATTCTCCCCTTGCCTCCAGGTCCTAAATCATTGGCACAAAGCTGAGAACAGCCTCCTCTTATATGGTATTCAGAGAAAATCCAAATGTGATCATGATCAGAGACGTCTTCCTAGTTCTGTATTCTTTTCCCCGACACAAACTGCAGAGGTTCATGGCGGAAATGTGCTTCATGCTTGTACTTGTGGCTGGATGAACATGTAAGGATGTTTCTATGATGCATTCTATGTAGTTACAGCCATGAGTAATAGAACCAAGAAGAATATCATATATTACGGTACTGTATCAAAATCCTCCGACACCTCTCTCCTCCCCTGGCAATATTTACTTCCCATTCAAACATGTATACAAAATTTTGTATATATGTTGGAATCTATGTTTGCCATGATTTTAAAACAGTAATCAGAGAGCTATTTTTCCTCACTGCAAATGATTAAACAAAGAAAGATTAAACAAAGATGAAATAAAAAACTCAGAGTGCGTAATTCTGGAAACCACATAATCACACATGCAGAATATTTTTCCACAGCAGGAGATCTCCTTTCCCACAACCACCACCACTGATGTCACTATAAATAGGCAGGATCGTCTCAGGTTTACCTAAATCCATTCTCATTTTCCTAGACAACAGTCGTATATGCTCTATCATAGAACCCTGTACAGAGACTCTGAATGGGGTTGGAAAGAATCTTTATAAAAAGGTTAAAAACATCATCTCCAGGGACTTCAAAGGTTTTCTTCAGAAATACTTTAAATAACTCAAGGGTCTCTGCAACAAGACAGTCATCCTCTAAAACTTAGATAAATTACTAAGTGTTAATTATGATACAGTTTATTCATACAAGTTCTCCATTCTACTTCTTGCCCATGTCTTACCTTTAATTAGTGTCCCTCTTTGCACTAGGAGAGCAGTAATTTTCTTGGCTGTTTCTTCACTAAGAGATTTGCGCTTCTTCCCAAATCCTGCTATTCATCTTCTTTTCTACTAAGAGAAGCCCAGAAAAAAACATACAGCATTAGATACAGGGATTCTAAGTTCTGAGATATTGTTAAAATATTATTCAGTCTCAGAATGTCCTTGAGCTAGTGTTGAACAATATTTCTACCTATGCCATGACTATCATTCATTTATTCATTCTTCTGTTTCATCATTTGTTCATTGATGTATCCATTCATCCAACATTTGTGGAATATACTTTGACTTCCAGGCACAGGGTTAGGCACTGAGACTTAGAAAGCTGAACTAGGCACAGCCTATTAGGCATTTCATTTATAGGAGAGACATGGGGATGAATAAGTGTAATGTAAGTGCTTTATACCATCTGAGTCTCAAACTGGCCCCTTAAGTTAGTGCTATTGTCTGAATGTACGTATCTTTCCAAAACTCAAAAATGGAAATTCTAACTCCAAAAATGATGAAAGTCTACCCTTTGGGAGGTGGTCAGGTCATGAGAGTGAAGCCCTTATAAATGAGTTTAGTCCTCTTATAAAAGAAGATCCAGAGAGCCCCTCTGCCCTTTCTTCACGTGGGAATACAAGAAGTCTGCAACATAGTCGAGGGCCCTCATCTGACCATGCTGGCATCATGATCTTGGAAAGGCAGCTTCCAAAACTCTAAGAAATAAATTTCTGTTGTCTATAAGCCACCCAGTCCCTGGTATTTTGTTGTAGCAGACTGAATGGACTAAGACTGTTAAGTAGGATGTATGCTGTTACTCTCACTTTATGGGTAAAGAAATGAAGACTTACATGATGATTAAGTAAATTATCCAGGGCTCTACCAATAGTAACAAGGAACAAGACACAAATCCAGTTCTATAATTCTAAATCCACATTTTTCTCATTGCCATGCTACATGGCGCTAATGTCCTTCCTTGAGAAACCTTTGGAGGCAGCATTGCTGATGTGACAATTCTACTGACCCTTGCTATCTGTGTCATGAACCATGAAGTATGTCCATAAGCAGACAAATTCACTAACTAGACTAATATTTTAGTCTCTCTATCTGTTAATAACATAAAGACAAGCTTATGCTAGGCCCCAAAGTTTTCTACAGCTGTGCTTTAGCAATAGCAAACTTTAAAATCCAATTAAGCCCCATGCATGGGAGAATTAGACTCATCTCTCAAAGCAAACTAACACACAACTTCCCAATGATGTTATCTACACCACATATTTCCCTTTCCTGCAACAAGCCAAATTATCATGGTGCTCCCTGCAGAGCCAAATTTTAATATACAGCAAGCCACACTGTGATAAACTTGAGAGAGAGATAAAGCTAGGTGTAAATCACTAACATAATACAAGCTGACTGAATACTTAGGAATAATTTATCCAAAAGTGAATTTAAACATGAATGATGAGAGACCAGGTCTGGACTTAGAAGAAATTAATTAAAATTAATTAATTAAATTAATATATATATATACACATATTTTTTCAGATTATTCTCCATTATAGGTTATTATAAGATATTGAATATTATTCCCTGTATTATACAGTAAATATTTGTTGCTTATCTATTTTATGGATAGTAGTTTGTATTTGTTAATCCCACACTCCTAATTTGTTCCTCTTCCCATCCTGTTTGGTAACCATAAATTTGTTTTTTTATGTCTGTGAGTCTACACCATATAGATTCATTTGTATTATTTCTCAGAGTTCATATATAAGTGATGTCATATAGTATTTATCTTTCCCTGCCTGACTTATAAAATTTTACTTATTGATGAAAGGCAAACTCTGTTATGAAATCCTGAGACCAGAAATAGTTAAATACTTACATAGTTAATGGCATTTTCAGTTGCTATAGTAAAATGCAATCTTTTAAAGATCACAGCCATTTAAAATGAGCCAATAAATATGGTACACTGAGTTTATCACCATGCTCTGGTCTCTTTCTCATAATCTCTTTAATTCTTCTAGTTTTCCTGAAGAATACTTCAGGTTTCAGTGAGATTCCATGAGCATGTTGTTTTGTATGGTTTGCTTAATATTTAGAACTGAAAAGGGAAGAATGGTTTTTTAAAAGTAAAGGTCTTTGGAGCCTTATATCTGAAATCCCCAAAGTAGATATCGTTTCTCAATTGGCTTTTCTTTTTCTCTTTATTCCTTCATTCAGCAACAACAACAGAATCTTTAAGGAACGACAGGCTTTGTACACAAAGATTAGCAAGATACATTCTCACTGTCTCAGGGCAGAGAGAGTAAGAAAGTCAATTATTATAGTGCTTTTTGTTTCTTCACTCTAGAAAATCTCTGTGATATTTTAAGGCTTTCATGTGAAAACTCTTAAGCCCCTAAAAGTATAGATTAAATTTTGGGTAAGCAGTTTAAACTTCAAATAAGTTTGCAAGGCAAAAATGTTGACTTGTCTGATTTTGGCAACATATAAACACATATATCTTATATTGCCCTGAAGGGTGGGCTAAGGTTAAAACATGAAAACAACTTTAAGTGAAAGTCGATGTGTAACCCATGACAAATGCTTTAGGTCGTGAGGAAACCAAACTTGTTATGCACTAATATGCTATGTACTTTTATAATAAGTTTCTCAGTTAACTCAATACACCCTATGAGGTTGGCATCATTATCCCTGGAGATCCATTCTGCTCTCTCTCCTCCAGGCAGACCCCGTCCTCCAAGGCAGTTGTAAGGGGCTAAGAGAGCCCTCTGGGGAGGCCTGGGTTTTGCAAACGTCTACAACCTGCTATTTCCAAGTCCAGGGCTCCCAATTTAGGAGGTTTCCTTCTCAAGCAGCACTCTGATTAGACTAGGTGTCAAAGTGTAGATGTGCCAGACAGTACCTGATTTATTATTTACCCCTGACTCTCACCAAAGTCAGCTCCAAGGAGTAGCAGTACCAGATGTTTCCCAGTGCTCAGACACAAGGTAACCCTTTCTTGCATAATCGTGTTCTCTGTTTTGACATAAATTTTATCTGTAATCTAATCCCCTTTCAAACTCCCTCCCAGATAGTTCTTAAGGCAACATTAATTCAATTACAAAGAATTGTTTTCTTTGTAATGTTATGTTAAAGCAAGGATTCTATTGTCAGGGCAACCTGATGGAGGGCGTAATTGTATACTTTTGAACAAGATCTTTATTTCTACCTGGCCAGAGTCCCACTTTGCTCCTGAGATTTCCCACTCCTTGGTGAAAAGAATGAAAATCATGCCATTGTTCTGCCTTTTTCTCACCCTGTTTTGTCTTCGTCTCTCCCTGTGCTCTGGTTCATCTACACAGCTCCTTCCCTTTATCAGATCAACTCCTTTATTTCTACCAGTTAACCCTAGTTAATCTCCTGTACTACAGATGACTCCTCTGAGCTCTCTCAATAATTCCTGTTTTTACAAATGAAGACAGTGATGTTCAGAGAAGTTAGTTACGTCACCAGTAACACTAGAGCAAAGACTTGAATTCATAGCTGTTTTATTTCACAGCCTATAAGCTTTATTCCATGTTCTGTGGTTCCTCTCATGATTGCTTCATTTGTGATTGATTTAGAAAATAAAATAGCAAGGGAATGAACTTTTTTGATTATTTAATATGAATCATCCCCTATGGCCAATTATCCTGCTGTTGAACATTTTCAACAACATAGAAATAAAATGTATGTGTTCACACGTTATAGTATTTTTCATTATTATTATTTCGCCTACAGAATCCTAAAGTTGATGTTTTTCTTCAGATATTTAGTAAGAATTAATCATTTCATATAGCCTTGCAATTTTTAAGAAAATTATGTTGCTTTTACATAAAGATCTTGTGAAAGTATATTTTCCAAAGGAGAAAAATGAAGTAATAAACATTATATAAGGTTAACTCTAGTTTCCTCAAAGTAACTTCCGTCCTTGGTTGGGTTTGTATGATCTTACTGGCATTGGTATGTATAGATAGAGCTATTGATGAAGTTCCTATGCCAGTTTCCAAGTGGCCAATAATTATAGTTAGCACTGGAAGTTGAAAATGTTTCCAAACTTGCCTGCACTTTGAAGTTTTCCTTGAGATTTACTTTCTTTGAAGTTCTAACTTGATGGACAGGATTTTATTTTGAGGGATTCTAGGATAATGTAATCTCACAAATTATTATTATTTTTGATGGTAAAACATAATATATCCTTGAGATTGTAACTTTTAGATCAAAGTTATTGATTGCTAAATTGCTTCTTCTCAAGTTTCTAAAAGTCATATTGTATATCTATGTTAGTTATTGTCAATAAGTTCCACAGTTTTACTTCTACCTTATGTATTTAGTAAGGTTGATCTGCTAAAAAAGCCAGACTGTGAAAGGACTTTGCAATGGTCATTCATTTATTCATTCATTTATACAAATGATTTGTGTGGGTCAGGCATTATGCTGGATTCTTAGGATGAAATAGCATTCAAGACAAAGTCTCTGCCCCCATGGAGTCTAGTTGGGAAGACATATGGTAAGCCAGTAAGCAAATACATCACCCATTACTTCCCATCTGGGGTTGTAGAGGAGGCTCTGAAGAGTAAAAATTAATGAAAATAAAGACAGAGAATCAGGAATCTAGACGGCCTAGGTCTGATTGGTTCATGCTTCAAAAACATCACTTTTGCTACATGCTTCTGAATCTTGGCCATAGTACTTTTGCTGTATCACCAGAATACCACTGTCTACTTTGCCCTCCCCAAGAAAGTGGCAAACTTGACCCAGTTAAGATTAAGAAGCAGGCAAATTGGCTCTATTTATTTATTTATCCACTCATTCCAATAAACATATGTTAGTTCAGTTAGATTTCTTTTTAAAAATTATGGTTGATTTCTATATTGTATTAGTGTCAGGTGTACAATACAGCAGAGATTCAATATTTCTATAGATTCTACTCCATAAGTATTGACTATATTCCCTGTGCTGTACAATATATCCTTGTAGTTTATTTATTTTATTACCCAGGCCATTCCTCTGCCTTATTTCA